TAACGAAGGGTTATTTACATGAACGACGCTTTCATTGCAAGACTTAATTACTTCTGCAAATTTACCGTCTATTTCCTCTATATCTTTTCTGCAAGCTTCTGGGTTTTTAAATTTAAGAAATTTAGTTCGCACGATTGTGGTAAAATTAGTGACATCCTCATTAAAAAAAGCATCCCAAAGTAATTCATAAGCTCTCTTTTCTTCAGCCGTGAACCTATCGCTAGTAATAAAAAGAACCTGGTTTAAATTTCTTTCAATAAAGCAAATAGCTTTTACCATCTGACGATAAACTTCTTTCTCATTCTCGGGGTTAGTATCGCTTATTCCTGGGGTATCAATTATGGTGTATCTAATTCCTCGCTTTTCATCTTCGAAATTTCGACTCTCAAATTCTCTGGTGCAGCTTTTAGTACTACTACCTTCCTTAAAAATTTCTTCAAATTCACCATTCTCATTTACCAGCACATTGGCTAAAGTTGATTTGCCATTGCCTGTTTTTCCAATTAATAATATGTTTCTTGTTTCTGTTATTTCTGTCATGTTTATAAATTTTTTGGATGTGAAATTTTATTTTATACCAATTGCTTTTTAATAAATTACTCTAATCAGTGGCAATTGGTAAGAAATCCAATTAGAATATTCTTTGCCCTCATTTTACTTCCGGGGAAAGACATCAGTCTTCGGCAACGCAAAGTCGCTGTCTAGGCTTCTACTTTTTGATAAAAGTCTTGGCTAGTGCGAAAGGGAGAAGTTATTTTCTTATTATTGATTTTTCATTCCTCTAATTCTTTGTGCCTTAATGGCACGGGAGCATTTGATATTTTATGAATAGTTTGTTTACCATGATGTTTTTGTTTATATGTCTTATAATGTATATCTTAACTTAATATAGGCATTTCATACGCCTATATATTGCTTTATATACAAAGTTTCAAACTCCCAATATAACTTTTAAAGAGATTTTTCTAATATTCAGAAAATAAAAAGTCGTATTAGGGATTATTTGGGCCGTAAAAACCAACATTAATAATTAACCTAAAATGACAACAAAAATAATTCATATGCCAACCACAAGTCTAACCAATATCACCATTAAAAAAATGGAAGACAGAAACTTCAAACCTTATTTTTTGGTTATCAATAATGACAACCAAGATGAAGCCTTTTTTTGCTTTGAATGAACCTTAAAAAGCGGCTGACAAGATTTAGTAAACAATTACGAGAATATAAAAGAAGTAGAAATAGAATTTGAGGAAAAACGGAGTTCTGTCGGAGACCAGAGAGAAGATAATTTTAAAACTTACCGGAAAGTAGTGAGTTTATATACCCTAAACGAGGAAAACATTATCATTTAGATTGTTATAAATACACCTCCTATATATAAAAACTATATTATGAAACTAATCTACATCCGTTCAACTATGGAACCTAAAAATTATGCGGCTTTGCGTTCTTTATTAAAACAAGAACAAGGGGAGAAGATTGCCCCGTATGTTTTTAAATTAGCCAACCTGCAAACTTTACAAAAATATTTACAAAAAGAGAAGATTAGATATGAAACTTACCAAGAAATTGCTGAAAATGAAACTGAATTCACCTACGAAGACCAAGAACTAGAACAAGCCTACAAACAAATCAGCCAAGACCAAGAAAGAAAAAAACTAACTAAGCCCGCTCAAAAAGCCGCTTTAAGAGATTTACAAAAGAGATTATAAATGAGTGCGAAAATAATTAAACGAGGTGAGATTTACTGAGCCGACTTCACTGAGGAAGAAAAAGAAAAGAAAAAAGATAAAATTAGCCAAGTTAGAAAAAAAGCCACACAAAAAGACCGTCCGGTGGTAGTAATTTCCAACGATAAGCAAAACAAATATAGCGAGGATGTAATCGTGGCTTTAATTAGTTCGCAATTAGATAAGATTTATTATTTTGAACCAGAAATTGCTTTAAAAAAGAAAAGTAAAATTTTGACTGACCAAATTTTAACTATTGATAAGAGTAGGTTAGGAGAGAAAGTTGGTGCTTTAAATTCAGAGGAAGTAATGAAGTTAGAAAAGGCTTTGCATGTGGTATTGAGTTTGCGATATTGTCGTAGAAGTGGATTTACTGCCGAGAGTTGGTTATTGTTGCAGAAGTTGGCTAAAAAGGAAGGAGTTGCAGTTCAGCAATTATTAGAAAAGATGGTAAAAGAATATGCGATGAGAAAATAATAATTTACGATTAATAATTTCTTCGTAGAACGAAATAAATAATCATACATGATTATTCTATTGTTGTAGACTAAGTATTACTAAAATAATTTTTGCCGACATTTTTTACCAAATATATGGAAAAAAATAAACCAGAGAAAAAAATAAAAAGGCTGAAAAAAATCAACTGACGAGAGTTTTTGCAGACTTATAAATTCTTACTAATTATTCCTCTTTTTTTAATTTTTATTTTTTATAGGCCTACTGAGGGGAGTTTTTTACATAATTTATTAGATAAATTTAAATTCTTGTTGGGAGTTTGTATCTGGGCTAGTTTAGGGGTGTTAGTAGGAGGATTACTTTTAGTTCTTTTTAGGAATAAGGGGCAAATAATTATTGATAACACTCCTGAATTTTTAGAATTCTGTAAAAAAAGCAATGGTTTGGTATTTTTTGGTCCCATAGGAAGTGGGAAGACGGCAATTTTGGCTATGCTGGCTAATGAACTTCCCGGGGAGAATAAGTATGCTACTTTTCCTTGTCAGTTGCCTTGGGCGGAGAAGGGACAATTAGATTTTTCTTATTCCCCTAGTCAGAGGTTAGGGGTAACTGAGACTATTTTTTTGGATGAGATTAATTTGTTGTTTAAAGGCAATATTGTGCAGGATGTGCGAGAACGACAGAGGTTCCTGATGCATTTTATAGCGTTAAGTAGACATCAAGGGACGAGATTATTTGTTAATGCTCAGAGGTTGGGTCAGGTAAGTATCGAACAACGAGAAGTAACGACCGGGATTTGTCAAGTGAGTTTGTTGCAGAAAACTGATGAAGGAAATAGACGGTAAATTTGCAGAAGTAATTAAGTCTTGCAATGAAAGCGTCGTTCATGTAAATAACCCTTCGTTA